AGATGTCTGGGCGACGGCGGAGATAGGAGAGCAAGAGGAAACCTACCGCTGTAACATAAAGCAGCCATGGTAATCGTCGCGCGTTTTCCTTGTTAGAGGAGATATGTGGGGGATGGGAGGGAGCGCGTCGATGAGCGCGTGTTTAACGTGGACGGCTGGAGCAGGCCGACGATTCCGACACGATCGTTCTCCCGTGGCGCCGACGTGGTGGCCCCGGTGGCTCGACGTGCGACGATGAAGAGAACGCGTCCTCCCACGTGTCTTGCGAATAGTGCAACACTCAACGTCTTTTGACCAGTTTCTGGGAGTTGACGATGATCTCTCGATTCCACGTGTAGCGATATGCGAACTGCATGCTATTATATAACATTAGCACGCTCCACCATCGAGACGCCGGATCGTTTGCTTGGATAGACTCTCGAGATGCCAGTATTGTCGAGTTACCGGCGCGTCCGCCTTCGCCTTCGCTCTCTCCTCAGGCTACCGTATGTGCCATTCGAATTCGAATCGATGCGCGCCACTCGACCCAGGCGTCCGTATGTTTCCTCTTTGTCGCTCTTACACTGCCTCCCGACACAAGCGATGTTCACGGCTTGCAAACTCGCGCAGAATTCTGATGTCCCACTGTGGACGAATGCTTCAGACAGACTATGCAGACCTTGAGCTCTTCTCAAGATTCTCTCCTCTCGGGTTTCCTTCACCACCGATTATCACCTTCATAACACGTGCTCGCTCGTACTTCGGAAGAGTCACTATCTGCCGCACAGTATCCCTTGATCTTCCGACAAAGTGAGAATGTTCCAAACTGTTCTGGTACTACAGCGAGACAGACTCGCGGCTCTCACATCGCAGATTGGAGTTTCGCTTATCGCGAGATGACGGACGAGACGGGGATACTTATCGTTACTTATCTTCTGAAATGGATTGATGACAGTTCGGATGAAAGCCAGGCGAAATACAAGATTTTTGACAAATCTACGCGGATGTTATTGAAGTGCGCATGGAAGAGAACGGAGCCGATCCGCGATATTTGGACACTGACGACGAGCACGACGTCTTTGCTCCGTGTGGCCTGCTGACGGCGAACAATTAGATACTAATGTAGCGCGACTGCTTGGCGAATGGCGATCGTTTAAATCGCACTTGGCTGGCCTGTATACCGCCGCGAAACCACTCCTGCTTATCTTTGGACTTTCCCCTCTGTCGCCCCTACTCCCTTCTCGCGATCTCTCGCCGCTGACACCACATCGCCCCTCTGTCGGCCTCCAAACTCGAGCAATTTGCGTAGAGGTTAACCAGTTTGTCCCACTCTCTTTTTCCAGAAAAAAGGAGAGGAGAACGCGGGAACGGCGACGAGGGAGAGACAGCAAGAGAGAAATCTCGCACCAAGTAGCGGCGGTAGCGGCAAGAAAGAACGAAAGCGATACAGGCGGGTATACGATGCGAAATCTAACAAAAATACCAGTTTTCGCATTTTTTTTCTGCTTCCTTACCCGGCGCGGAAAAAAAAATGCGAAAAGTAGGCGATTCTTAGTTATAATGCATTCACGCGTGCCTGTCGTTCGTGTCCTTTACTCCCGCTCTCGTTCTTGATCATATTTGCACGCGCGTGCATGCGAGGAGATTGCGAAGTATCTCTCCTCGACGGCATAATGCAACGCAATGCAATGCTCGCTTACTTGCTCGCTCGTTTGTTCTGGCGACTCGCTCGCTTCGGGACCGAGATACTGTATCGTTGATTTACGATGACGCGGCTGTCCCGCGCTGAATTGCATTTGTAATAGCGCCGCTTAATGCTACCGACGTGATTGAGACTTCTCCTGCTGTCAGACGTGATAAAACGTCGAGCATGACACATAATTGAAAACTTGCGAGTTTACACGACTCACTTACACGGAAAATTTTATAATAAAAATTGCTATAGGGCTTTGTGACCGAATAGATCCACATTCTGCAATAATTCGCTATCCTTTCATTTCATATGCGTTATTCATATTTTGAGAAACTCTGAAATGTACTATTAAAACACTTTTTGTATTTCTAGAGAAATCTGCTATGTTTCTAACGAAATTTACTATGTTCCTTAGCAAAATAGATCTTACTATCTATTCCGGGACTAATAAAAATATAGTAGAATTAAAACGAATTTATATGAAGGAAAACTGTAATTTTCTCTCACTGTATATGCGCACAAGTTTTTCGCAGCAGCCCATCTTCACAATTGTCACATCACAATTGTCGTCTCATTTCGATCTTACTCACATATCAAAGTATATATCCATAAAGTAACACTTGCAACCGATTAAACAAATTTGTAAAATATTCTGTTCACTCTCCTTTTGTTCTAACAATCAATAGTTTGTCGTAAATTAACGTGAAATACAATTTATCTTTTAACCTATTTCTCCACCTATTTCTATTCATTTATTAATTTACAATAAATTATTGATTGTTAAAATAAAAGGGAAGTGCACAGAATATCTTACAAATTCGATTAATTGGTTGCAAGTGTTACTTTATGGATATATATTTTTATTGTAACGTATTTTGCAAGAATTTGTAGCATGCATTTTCTCGCTTCTGACGTCATTAAAAAAGAGATAAACAATGCGAGAGGCTAAGAGCTTTAATTGATGACAAAAGAAAATTGTATTATTTACAGATTATTTTACACCTGCTTGATCGATTATTTTGCGAGAATTTTGAACGAGCATTATCTCGTTTTTGATGTTGTCAATTCAGAAATTTTAAGATTTAAGAACTGTAAATAAATGCGTTTAAATTATAAACGTTTAAAAATCTATATAAACGCTACTATGGACGTGTTAAAAAAAAGCTTTGATCTAAAAAAATCTAAAATTATAAAAATCTTAAGTAAAAAAAAATATTTATCCTAAGTAAAAAAATATTTATCTTAAGTAAAAAAATTTATATCAAAAGATATGCGCCTGTTGCAATTTTTTGAACGAATAGAAATCCGAAATCAGTCTTTCGTTTGAATTAACATGCAATATTACTCATTTATATGTATTCAAACTAACTTAAACATTAGCGGACACTAACTGTTAGTAATGGTTAAATTATTAATTTTAAAGTTATTAATGCATTAAAATTAGTTAATTAGTAATGTTAGTAATTTTAGTAATTAGTAATTTTAATAATATAAATACTAATTCAAACACACACATGTATAGCATTAATTGTTAGTAGAAAATAAATAAGAGTCGTTACCTGATTTAATCCATTTCTCCTCTATTTTTTCTAATGTTTCTAATGTTTCTTGGATTAATTTTGCTCTATTGTTGGATCGGTTGTCATGTTCCGCAGCATTATTAGAAACTAAAGGCGTATCATCGAATAAGAACCAATCCTCGTTAAATTCTGATAACGATGCCCCACTGGGGGACTCCGGCTCGGTCTTCCACTCCTGCATCTCCTGATCTTGATTGAATGCCATCTTCGACGCGAATCCAACGATGTGTTAGTAGCGAATGATGAAGAGAAATTTTTGTTGGCTTGATGTAGCTCACAACGAGCGCCATATTGATACTAAAATTAATAAACATTTCATATTAGTAAAAAAACAATTATATGAAAAAAGTGGATTAAATTAATATTTTGGACAAAACAGTAAACATTTATTCAACCTTTTAGTTGCAAAAGTATCTGTATGTAAATACCTCAATACTTAAACATTTTTACAGTTTGAGGGCCCTGGGTCATTTGTATGTATGAATTCAAGAAGTTTTTGTGAAATATTTTAATAAAGAAATAAGACATATATTTTTGACATTTTCATTATGTTGCTTAGATAATAGTTCTTCAGAGAATGTTTTAGAGACATTCTCAGAATATCTTTAGTATGTCTTGTGGAGATTTATGCTGTTTGAATGTTGATATGTTTTGAGAAAGTTGAAACATGATTTTTTCATGATTAGAATTCACACATTGGTTGGAATTTACATTTTAAGTTACATATGATGCGGTCCAACATACTCTTCAGTAAATATAAAAGTTCACTACAAATAGCTATATCATGCACACCAGCAAGATACGAGCATGTTGCGCCACACCCTGTAACTCATATGCGAGTTTTAATTATGAAAAAGGATCATATAAGTTTTTCAAAACACAATTAAAAACGCATAATCTACTGTAACCTAATAATTTACAATAAATAATGGCTACATTCCAAAATTTATTGCCAGTACTGGAAATCTGTAGCTTATATTATATATATTATAAATTTTCAGTACTAGCAGTGTGAATTTCGGAACATAGCTAAAATTATGCGAAAAAAATAAGTTAAAAAGTCTACAGGTTAGAGTGACATTGTATATCATTACACACACGATAATCAATGAAAAATTATTGATTATTACAGGAAAAGGAAAATGTTGGGACTATTTTACGGATTTGCTCGATCAATTGCAAGTATCGCTTTACGGATGTATTTTTTTATTTAAGTGTATTTCTTAAGAATTTTTAGCATGTGTTTGCTCGTTTCTAATCTCATTAAAAAAAGATGACTCGTGTGGGGTTGCTAATCCCCCATCGGACGCCTCCCCATGTGGCGGATTGGGGAATATTCGTCAGTTTTGCTGAAGGGTACCGGGGAAATAAAATAGCCTGGGGTGGACCAAAATTAGCAACTAGAGTAATGGATAAAACAAAATTTGGATATACTAGACTATCCAGACCGGGTTACAGCCTGGAAAATCCATCCTCAAATGAAACAGGCCGAGTGAAGCCAATAAGTCTACTTGTACTTATGTATTAGAAGATCCTTTAGAAGATCTTCATTGGAAGGATCTTCTAATTTATATTAATATCGATTAGTTAAGATACCCTGTGTTATGCAAGAGAAATTGCTAGATAAGCCAATAGCTTAGCCGATAGTTATTAGATATAAATCATATTTATTAGATATAATTTGGTGAGAAAAAAAGAGATAAATGATGCGAGTGTTCATACAATAAGCAAAAAATCATTGATAGAACGTAATCCCAACGATATTCAATAACATATAACGTTTTTTAATATGTAGTTTTTAACGTTGTATTAAAATTATTGCGAATTACTTTGACACTTTAATATTTCTAAAACATTTTTATAATATTTAAAGGAATCATACCCAACAAACACAGATATATAACAGTTAAATTGCCGTAATGAAACGGAATGTAATATGCAATATAACTTGTATATAGTAGGTTTTATAGACGTTCGTTGTAATTTCCTACTCACACGTGTTACAGTTATATAACGTGAATATAACATAAAAGTAACATGTGACTAAAAAGTTATATAAGAGTTATATGTTATTTGTTAGCACATTACACATATATTTTTTTGTTGAATTCCAACGATTTATTCATTAGTATGGTTTAGATAAGTGATAATGTATAATTATTTTGTCTAAATAATAAAAAAAAACTGACATTTCATATTCCGTATTATTTCAATTATTCGTGAAACTCGCGTGAATTCGCGTGAACCCATTTTTAGATCATGTTGTTCAATGCTTAACTTCAACGATCGTCCGGGAACTGGTGATACCGATGCGCCGTAACGATATCTTGATAGATAATATTTACAATATATTCTGATATCGTTCAAAAAAATGTTATGACATATTTGTTGGTAAATGTTTGACACGACAATCACAATGCGATTAATATTGATACAATGTTGTATCAGTAATCAAATTTTAACCTACAACGTGCTCGCAAAAGAGAAAGAATATTCCTTCTTTCTCTCTCACAATACTTTGACAG